GGTTTGGTATAGAAAAATTAGAGAGGAAATTAGATGTGTGAAAATAGTATTTGAGAGAGTTGAAAGAAAAAAACATTTATAACAAATTTAAATATTTGAAACCGATGGAGTATTTATTTGAATTTATTGTAAAATTCTCCAGTAATATTATACCATTGTAACTGTTAAATTTCATTAAATTTCTACCCGACATATACAGTGATGTTTTATCCCGTCCCCCACCCCACCTCACCCTTTTTTTAGGTAAATTACACAAATGGCCCCAAATTCTTTAAAAATTGACAGTTTAGTTCCTAACTTTTTTTTGACGAAACAAAGCCCAAAGTATTTAAAAAGGTGTAATGTAGTCATTTCTGTCAGATATCGTCTAAAAAGTAACAGTATAATAACCTAAAAGGGTGACATTATGGTCCCTTACTTCTTTATGAGGTGATTTTTTTAATCCCAATCGACTTTAATAGGTTAGAAATTAGTTCTTATTTTTGGACGGCATTTAACGAAACTGACGATATTGTACCCTTTTAAATAGTTTGAGGCTCGTTTCGTCAAAAAAAAAAAATTTAGGAACCAAACTATCACCTTTTAATAAGTTTAGAAACCGTTCATGCAAATTACTTTTTTTTAACTTTAGTTCTTTGATCCTCAATTATTTATTTTTTTATTTACATGCTTATCTTATATATATATATATATATATAATATCTTCTTATTTTTCTACATGTTTTCGCATTTCCCATATATAAATATCTTATATATTCTCAAATCCACTTCGTTAAATTATTTTTTTATATTAATTTTATTGTCTATCTTCTATTTTTATTTTTGTCCATGAATTGTTATTATATCAAATTAAGGTTATAAAACAATATTACTTATAAATTTACTACCATAAAACATCAAAAAAAAATCGTTACTACCATTCTTATCTATTATTGCAATAAAGTCTCCAATTATTTATAGATTTTAAAAGAGAAATAATTTTTATTTAAAGAGTATTATTGATAATTAAAGTAAACACTCATATTATTTAATTTATTACTTTTGTTTTTTTTAGAAAAAGTGTTTAGATTATAGATATTTTCATTATCTGAAAAATAGCGAATTGAATAAAAATATTACTTATATTGTAGGATCATCAACTTATGGTTTATTCAATAAATGACAATAGAATGCAACCTTAAGGACATGTTATACTCATGAACGACACAGACTACTAAATGGCATACAATTTAAAGCATTGGATTATCAACACAGATGCTTACCGAATATAAATAAGAAAAATACTTATGTCACTATTTCTGTAACTCTCTCTGTTATTTTCTGTATATTTATTTACTGTTTGACACGTAAATTTTATATTTTGTTTAAATAATAATATATTATGTTAGTAGATTCAAGAGTAACAATTGAGCTGATTTTAGTCATGTTGTATTTGACTTTTGGTTCAAAGTAGATTAAATTGGATGGTTTCTAAGACATACCTCATGAATGGGGAGGAAAAGTTAACACACAGTCATGTCTCATGTAGCCTTTCCCATCATTTATTTAACAGAAATAGTAAAAAATATGTCAATATGAAAAATTTAAGGAAGTATATAAACCAACTTTTAGTTATAGAAATTAATAAGCCATAACTTGTCAAGTTATGGTTCATAACCAGATAAGTTATGGATAAATTTGTCAAGTTATGGTTCATAACCATACAAGTTATGGACAAAAATCATGATTTATGGATAATAATTTGTCAAGTTATGGTTCATAACCAGACAAGTTATAAACGAAAACAGTAATTTGACCTATTTATTAACTTATGTAAACTATTGGCCTATTAATTTTAATTCATCTCAAGTCTTGACATATTTCTCTCTTTCTCCCTTTATTTAATCACTTTTCCTTACATATATAAAAGCCATAAAGTGCTTAACCTAATCTGCCCAAGCCAGCCCAAAACCGTAAAAAGAATAAAAAAAAAAAAATCATGGTTTACTTTAACTTGGTTTTTCTTAGGGTTTAACCGACAATTTTGGTCGGTTTCAAAACCGAATCTACAATGTCAGTTTTGAAAATTTAAAACTAAAACCGAGCCGAAGAACAATATCTTCGGTCGGTTAACCGATCGATTTTTATTAGTTTTTACCGGTCGGTTTGGCTTAATTAAAATAATTTTTGGATATTTTAGTTCGCTGATTAGAGTTGAGATGTGACTTTATGTGAGAGCTTTTTAATGTAACAAAAAAGTTAGATGTGATTGTTTCTGATAGCTTTTTACTATAACAAAACTCAAATTTTAAACTCAAATCGGTGAAATGAACAAAACCTTTGTTAACTATTTTCTTCTTAAATTTTAACCATTCAAATATTTAATATTTAAATAGTTAAAATTAAATAGAAAAAATGGCTTAAAAGACAAAAACATAAAGCCTAAAAGAATGCACCCTTAAGGACTAAGGCTTTACAGCTAATCTCAATTAGAAAACTTATTTATATTGAAGTCCATCATATTATTGAAGATGAACATTCAAAAGAAGTTAGACATTTTTAACTTATAAGTTGTGATGGAGAAATGAAATACATAGCCCTTTATATAGAATAGTTGAGAGAAGACATTCTCATCTGTTTTCAACATGGGACTTTCAAACACATTGAAAAGAGATGAAAGTCCTACATTGAAAAGAGATGAGAATGTATTCCCTCAATTATTTAATATAAACGACTATGTATTTCATTTCTCCATTACAACTTACAAGTTAGAGAGATCTAACTTTTTTTAAATGTACATCTTCAATAATATGGTGAACTTGTATTCACCATCTACAAGACTAGAGGTTCGAATCTATGGATAATAATTTTTTTTTTAAATAGAGTAGAAGGTGGTCAATTGGTTTGTTTTAACCGATTACCTCAGTTGGCAGAATCGAAACCGAACCCCCCATGACCATGGACAATCGATTAACCGACCGAATTAGTCGATTTGCTGACGTGGAACTGAATTTTCAATTTTTTTGGGTCGATTTGGCAGTTCGGTGTCAGTCGGTGTCAGTTGGTGGCAGTTTTTCAGTTTTTTTTTTTTTTTTTTTAGAAAACTCCTTTTTCTCATTAAAAAAAAATCAAATTGCTCAAACCGTAAAAAAATACATACATATGATTAGAATGATTGCTAGTTCTTAAAAATAGTAATAAAAACAAATGCTCAAACCAACCGCGAAAACCCTAGCCCCAAATAATTTATTTGACATCTCAATCAACCATAAATACTTCTTCCATTTACTAGGGAATGTCAATTTAAAAGCCTATGTATGAGGAGCAAATTTGACAACACTATCAATTCTAAATGTGAAAATGGCACATTTGATAGGCTATTTTTATTTATGTTCTAATGCGTAATGCAATTTGAAATGTCAAATTTAATTTTTGTCATAATCATTAAACTTTGAGAGTTGTACAAGTTTACTCTAATTTTAAACAATTCGTAAATTCTAATGTTGTAATGATTAAAAGAAAACATAATATATCAATCTAATGTCAAAATTTACCATCAAGTATAACTTACACGGAATTTAGCACCTAGAATAGCAATGCATTGTAGAGTGATGTTTTCTACTCGGATGCTGAAATTTAGCATTGGTATACTAATATTTAACATACCATTTTGGAGATGCTCTTAGATGTATGAAGGCACGGTGAGCTTTAACGCCGCAGCGCAGTCCACCGCTCAAACCTTAAAGCAGGTTGTGCCTAGTGAATAAAGGTAAAATGAACAAACTTACCAGTTTAGTTAGATCTTGGATGACGAAATTTCACTATATATAAAATGAACACAATCACTAGCTTAGTCAGATGAGGCCACAAACTGAGGGAACGTTGTAACAGAATTCACTATTCAGAAAAAAAAAAAAGGAGTTTGTCGCTTGTAAGCATATATTAATCTGACATTTATGGCTTGTTCTTTTGAGTGAAAAACTCAAAAAAAGATAACTCGAGTTACAACTTTATTCGAGTTCATGTTCGTTTAAGTTTAAACTCGAGTTCAAACTCGAATTTAGGACTAAAACTCGAGTTCAAATTTCCCTTTCAACTCGAGTTCAGAAACTCAAACTCAAATTAATAAACAGTATTTTTTTCTATTCTTAAAAATGCTATAACTTTTTCGTTTTAATTCTGATTGAGATGATTTTTTTTCTATGGGTTGACAACGAAAACACGAATAAAACCCGACCCATATACCATATTAAAATTTTTCATTAGCATTGAGTTTTTATTAAAATACTATCTAAATACAAATTCAAGTTTTGACTCACTCAAACACAAACTCAAAAAGATTCTTATCTCAAACCAGAACTCAAATGTACACAACCAAACACAAACTAAAGTTATAAGTTCAACTCAAGTTATATCTCAAATTCAACTCAAGAATTATACTCAAGTTAAACTCCAAAAGAACAAGCCCTTAAGTTTCTTCTCTATTAAACCAAACCGAATAAGACACTCTAAAGCAATTTAGGTGATGTTTGGTAGATGGATTCGTTCCCTGATTCGAATCATGGTTCGTGGTTCGCTACAGTATTTTCTCTCACAAAAAATACACGTAAATTAAAAATATTTCTAATTACATGGTTCTAATCTATGAACCAAACGCTAATGGCCCTGATCTCTAACTGCCTCAAAGCTTAGCCAACTCCTGTTTGAAGTGCCCTAAATAGATACGTTCTTGACATGACATCTCAGAAAACCATAAATACTTCTCCAATGTGACCCGGGATAAGAGTTCGAAAGCTTATATGACGAGTAGATTCGACACTAGCAACAACACTAGTTCAACCTTCTGCTGTGTAAATATGACTCAAATCTCTATGGACCCTTCCTATACAGCCACATTATAACATTTTTTTTTTATGCAAAAACGTGTCAATATCGGTCTGGATAGGTCAAAGAAGTAACTTTGTCAAAGTTTTTCCTTAACAAAGAGGAAGCAATAGGAAAAATATTACCGTAAAGCTTGGCAAACACTGGTGCATGCAAAACTGCTACTAGTACTATGCCACAGATCCGCGTCCATCTGGCATCTCCACAGAGCATGCAATAACCAGGATTCAGTGAGATTCTTGTGTCGAATGAAAAGTCGATTGAAATCTTTTGATTCAAAAAACGACAAAAAACCAAGAAGTTGCACTGCACCAAATACACGTGCGTATGGTTCCTATATCCTTGTTACAAGAATGATAGAATTGTTGGTCACAAGTCTTCTAATGGCCCTCAGACCTTGGTTAAGAAATCCTTAGATCCACCAATATGCTAGGAAACAACATAAACTTTTATCTTCCAGGAAAGGGAAAAAAAAAAAATGTTAGGAGCTTCCGGCGAACATCTCCAATCACGAAACAAAATATATTGCTTCAATCAAAAATATGTACTCTTTATATTCTTCACTGTCTTCAAAGACAACAGAAGTCCTGGTGTTGGCAGTTTCATCACACTGTCTTTAGAGATAACAAAAGTCCTGGTGTTGGCAATTTAAACCAGTTTACATGAAAGGAGGAAAACTGAAAATTAGGAAACAACAAGTCTGATCTTAACAACACAAGCACTAATTCAAGCAGAATACAATCAAATTCTTTGCATCCACATCAACAAGGCAGCGAACTCTACAAGCATGATAATGAACAGAATTCGGCACTAGGAAATGGGAACTCCAAAGTTAGAAATTGTGCACACCCACATGAACTAGCAGTCTAGCACACAAATTATTGTTGAACTGTAGAAACCTAATACTACTATCACGGTTAGAAACATACAATTTTCAAAATTACCATCCACAATTAAGCTTTCGAGGAGTGCAAAAACATTAATCACTTTGAGAGGAACGTGAAAGCAAAAGTGTGGAAATTCTCCCAAACACTAAGAGAAAATGATCCACACAGTGTAAGGATTCAAGAAAGATCAGCAATACCATACTTAATAGCTCAAAAATATTTCACTCAAAACATTTCTTAGAAGTTCTCTTCTCAAGAAAGTCCTCTTCATGTCACTACCCATCTTAACTATTCAGCTATCGAAATGATCTTAACGCATAAATGCATATAAAGCTTTAATGCCGCTGTCTAATTCTCAAATCTGCCTATTGATCAGGTTAAACAAAGCAAGATTACACCATGAGAAGAAACAATCCAAATCTGACAGGTAAAAAAAAAACTTACACCATTGCGTCAATAGTCCTCACAAAGAAACTGGAATACAAGCAAAGAACCAGATATCATTGGCCGTCAACCTTTTGCGCATCGAAGCAACCATCTCCGACCAAACTTCTCCCTGTAAATCCCCATCTTCATCCTTATTCACTTCAATTTCCTCAAAACAAAATTCCATCTTTTTCTCATATATTGAAGTTACAATTTGACCCGGTAATTCTCGCCACCCCATCACTACCAATCTCCCTCCCAAATTGACCATCCGAGGGCTCAACAAGTCATTCGGACACCCTCCGTGATTCCGAAACTTGAGCTCTTTCCACACCCCAATTCCTTCATCAAACCATTTAATCACACATTGATAATCATGAGACCAATACAAAACTCCATTCACCTCACACGTCTGTGTTCTCCAATCCAATCTCAATCCAATATCACTCTCAAACACCTCCCATGTCTTCGTCGGGGGGTCGAACCTGAGCTCTTCTTCCGCCATCCAAACGCAAACCTTGGCACCCCTAATGTCACAACCAACAACCTCTTTGCCGTAGGCCCTAAGCTTGGGGCTGGGAATGGCCTCCCAGCGCCCAGCCACTGTGTCGAACACGTCGACCCATGAATCTTCCTCTGTCCACATTCCGATCAGATAAATCTTGCCGTCCAAAACTGTGGTCGTAAGAACGCCCCTTTCCACTGTTGGCACGCTCGGACCGCAATCCCACGTGTGGAAGCGGCAGTCTAAAATCCACACATCGGTTAAAGAGTGGCCGAAGGTTTGGCCTCCAATGTAGATCTTGGGCCCCACGGCGGCGTAAAGGGACCGATATAAACAGTCATTGGGAACTCCTGGAACCAGGGCGATGATGATCTTGCTCTTCTCGTTGTCGTTTGGTCGTCCATAGACAGTGAACAAACCGGTAGGGACAATGTGTTGGTTTCGGAACCTGAGATATGGCAGGAGTTTGGTACAGTTGAGGATTGACCAGACGGCGAAGAAGTGTGCGGAGGAGAGGAGGGATTTGATGGGCTTCGACACCGCCGCGAGGACGGGGTGATACCGTCTGGGACTCTAGAGCAATCATTCTAGTTCCCTCGAAGCTTAGCCAACTCTTGTTTGAAGTGCCCTAAACAAATTTTTCTTTACATCTCAACAAATCATAAATACTTCTTCCCTTTGGTCTTGGATAACAAGTCCAAAGCCTAAATGAGGATCATATTTGACACTAGCATCCACACTAAAGTTTAACAATCTGCTGTGGAAATTCTACTCAACCTCTTTGAACTAGCAGCTTGCAACATTTCAGCTACATTCAATCATTTTTTTTATATGCAAAAACGTGTTGAGATTACTCCAGAGAGCTCAAAGAAGTGCCTTTGTCTAAGTTTTTCCTTAACAACGAGGAAGCAATAGGAGAAAGTATTACCGTAAGACTTGGCAAACACTAAGGCATGCAAAATTGCTACCAAGTACCATGCCATATATCAGCATTTTTTCTTGCAGCTCCATAGAGCATGAAATAACCAGGAATCTATGGCCTCGTTCATTTCACCGATTCGAGTTTTTAGTTTTAGGTTTCTACAGTAAAAAACTCTCAGAAAATGTTGCATCTAACTTTTTCTACTACAGTAAAAAGCTCTAAGAAAATGTCACATCTCAGCTCGAATTGAAAACTCGAATCCGTGAAGTAAACGATGCCTATAAGATCATCGAGTAAAATGAAAAGTTCACTGCAACCTTTTGATTGAAGAGAGAGAGAGAGAGAGAGAGAGAGAGAGAGAGAGAGAGAGAGTTGCACTATATCCTTGTTACAAAGAATAATAGACCATTGCACCTTGGTTAAGCAATTCTTAGAAACTTTTATCTTCCAAGGAGGAAACATAACCTTCTGACTCAAATTTTTGGCCAATGCTTCAGGCGAACATCTCCAATCATGAAACTACAAACAAAATTTGCTTCAGTCAAAAATATGTACACTTTATATTAATCACTATGTCTTCAAAGACAGCAAAATTAAGCCACTATTAAATGAAAAAAAGGAACGAAACTGAAAATTAAGAAATAACAAGTCTGATCTTAACAACACAAACACTAATTTAAGAAAAAGACAACAGACAAACATATTAACTGGCCGGTTTAATCTGTGATTATAATAAGTTATTACGAAAAGATACAACTCAAGCAAAATGAGCATCAGAGTAAATTTATAGCTCAATCCACAATGATTAATTTCCATAAGGAAAATAATCAAAGATAAACCAAACAATAACAAATAAGTAAACTCTGAGCTATATTATAATAACAAGAAAAAAAAAAAGAAAAAGAAAAAGAATAATCAGCAGCCATTGTTTCGCGCTTCTGACATAACAAGTATGGAGAACAAGATACTATTTGTGTACTCTCAAATGATCTTGAGGATGGAGAAATTGTAAGAGAGAACAGAGTGCAGTTCAAATAAATTATCCAATGCAATAACAAACAATTTTTATTTTCAATGGGCACCATATTTCATTTAGTTCCTCAGTAATTTATTGAAGTTGAACCATTTACAAAATTACAAACTTGGGAAAATGGAAATATCAATTACAAAGGGTTGTTGCTCTAAATCTTGAAATGTCAATTGAAATTGCATATTTCCCAATTACATAAAAAAGTAATAACAACAAAAACTATTGATCAGGTTAAACAAGGCAAGGTCACAAAAAATAAAAAATAAAAAATACAAATCAGAGGGGAAAAGAAAAGGAGACTTACACTACTGCATCAATAGTCCTCACAAAGAAACTGGAAAACAAGCGCAGGAACAGAGCACCTTATCCATCAACCTTCTGGACATTGAAGCAACCATCTCCGACCACAAAACTTCTCCCTGGAAATTCCAATCTCCATCCTTCTTCACTTCAATTTCCGCACACCATATTCCCATCTCATCATCCAATTCTGAATTCACAGTTTGATCCTGTAATTCTCTCCACCCCATCATTACCAACCTCCCTCCCGCATTGACCATCCAAGGTATCCACGAGTGATCCGGCAACAGCCCACAATTATTCACAATCTCGACCACTTTCCACACCCCAATTCTTTCATCAAAGCCTTTAATCATCCCCTTATGATTTTCAGCGCAATACAACACCCCATTCACCTCGCAAATCTGTGTGGTCCAACACAATCCCGACCCAACACCACTCCGAAACACCTCCCACGTCTTCGTTGCTGGGTCGAACTTCAGCTCTTCAAACTCCGACCAGACGCAAACTTTACCGCCTCTAATGGCACATCCGACAACCTCTTTGCTGCGGTCCCCAAGCTTGGGGCTTGCGAGGGCCTCCCAGCGCTCAGATACCGTGTCGAACACGTCTATCCATGATTCCTCCACCGCTGCCGACCATCCGACCACGTAAATCTTGCCGTCGAAAGCTACGGTCTTGGCCACGCGCATTCTAGCTGTTGGCAAGCTCGGACCGCGCTCCCACGTGTGGAAGCGGCAGTCGAAAGCCCACACCTCAGTTGAAAATCCACAGCCTGTTAAGCCGCCCAAGACGTAGATCTTGGGGCCCACGGAACCGTAATTGGACAAATACAGCTGTTCATCGGGAACTCCTGGGACCGGAGCCAGGATAATACTGCTCTTGATGTTGTCGTTTTGGTTGGGTCGTCCATACACCGTGAACCAACCGTCGGGATCGTCGCATGAGCGTTGAATTCTGAGGTAAAGGAGGAGTTCGGTGGAGTTGAGGGATGACCGGACGGCGAAGAATTCTGGGGAGGAGAGGAGGGATCTGATTGGCTTCGACACCGCCGCGAGGACTGGGTGGTACTGTCTCGGGACTCGAGCCAGACATTGCAAAGCGACGTCGTTTGGTAGTGACGGGATGAGGATCTCCGGCGGCGCCGCCGTGGTGGGGGACATGCTGTTTGTTCTTGTTGAGGTTTTCGTAAGGAAGAGAGTAAAGTGTTATTAGGTTTACCATAAAAATCAATAAATACCCCCTTAGTCTTGGCTAAAATCAAAATTTGTCTCCAAAACGAATTCCCTAACTTTTAGGCTATTTCAAAAATATCTCCTATATTTTTCAAAAGAGTAAAAAACATCTCTAACCGGTCAAATATTTTGAAACACCTGAAATCATCATAATAATTACTATTTAAATATTAGTTTAGCCATCAATTATATTAATTTTTCAAACATACATTTTAAAACTAAATAAAATAATAGCAAAAGAGGTTTTTTTTTTTTTTTTTTTTTTTTTTTTTTTTTTTTTTAAAAAACCCCCTTTTTTTTTTTTTTTTACAGATACCCTCTCAACTTTGCACGTTTGGTAAATCGGTCTCTCAACTTTAATCTTGCAATTTACACTCTAATTTTTAAAATTTATTGCGATGTTGATCAAATTAAAAATAAAATTAAAATTGTAGATAGTTTCTTCACATAAATGTTTAGTGGAGTTAATTCTAATATTTTTTTGTATTAAATTAGTCCCTATATACACATCATAAGCAAACTTTTTTTTGAAATATTTTAGGAAAATTTAGCGGTTCCTCAATTTCAAAAAAAAAAAAAAATCTTCCATTTCTTCTCCTATTCATTATATAAGCATATATATATAATTATTGACTACTGCCTAATGAAAAAGAAATAAAGTTCATTAGCCATTAGGAATAATCTGAAGTTCGTAGCAATATAATCAATATATAAAACAAATAAACTAATCTAGTTTTTTTTTTTGGCTAGAAATAAACTAATCAAGTTTGATTTCAAAGGAATACTAGGGCTCGTTTAATTCGCTGATTCAAGTTTTTAATTCGAGCTGAGATGTGACTTTATGTGAGAACTTTTTACTGTAACAAAAAAGTTAGATGTGACTATTTTTAAGAGCTTTTTACTGTAACAAAACTCGAATTACCGAAATGAACGGAAGCCTAAATAGATATTGCTTAAACGACGATCAAAGCAAAGAAGACGTCATTTTACGTATTCATTTTTTAGAAGCATTTTCCTGCGTTTTGAGGAGCTATGTTGTTTGTATTAAGAGTTTTTGTTTTAGGCTAAAGTTTTTCCTTTTTTTTTAAAGGTTTTCTTTTCTGTTAGAGTGCAGTAAATAAATATGTCATTTTCTTTTGATTAAAAACGACGTGCGACTCTTTTCATTAAACAAGATGTTCAAGATAAACGACAAATCGTTTATAACTTTGTAAGCGTCACATAGTTTTATCTGAAGACAAAACGACGTCATTCCCTTGGAGAAAACAACACCTGTGACAGACTGCATGTCGTTTATCTTGTATTGGAAAGAGCATGTCGGTTTTTAGAGAGAGTGAGGAGAAAACAACATGGAGATAAACAACATTCTCACTATTTTGTATAGAAAACGACTTATTTTATTAAGCAAACCAACATGGAAAAAAAGATGAGGTTCATTTGTATATAAAGCCAGTGTGCTATAATGCTCTGGCAGTTATCAGGAGAAACTAGAAGTAAAACTTTAAAAAAAAAAAAAAAAAAAAAAAAAAAAAAAAACAAACACACACACACACAATTTTACAGTTTTATTCTTATTTCACCCCCTGAAAATTTTAATTTGTAATATTTATATCTAAATTTTTAGAAAAATATCATGTACACTCCAAAGTTTAAATTTTAAATTTTGATATACTTTTTATTTTAATTTTAAATGCCAAATAAACTAAAAATCAATCACAATATTATGTAGGATATGATAATTTTGTTAACCTATAAACTTCAAAAATAAATTAAACTCGATCAGAATTGTTGTTACTGCAAATTAAGCCATATTGACGTAGAAAGTCTACGGCCTCGTTCGGTTCGCGTATTTGAGTTTTCAATTTGAGTTGAGATGTGACATTTTTTGAAAATTTTTAATTGTAGAAACTTAAAACTAAAAACTCGAATCAGTGAAATAAACAAAAGCTACGTATAGTTCGCCAAATCCATGGCAGAGGGAGAAGAGGAACACCTCTTAGAAGCTCTATGAAGTATGAGAAATCTCTCAATTTTAGATGGCAAAGGCTGAATACAAAATGAAAGCTCGTGGCCAATATACAACCGGACCAAGAACTAATAGAGAAACAAAACGAGAGCGAAAAAAAAAAAAAAAAAAAAAAAAAAAAAAAAAATTTAAACCAAAGAACATTTAACCACACCAAAAAAAAAAAAAAAACAGAAGGGAAAAAAAAAAAAAAAAAAAAAAAAACACGACAATTTAACGCAATGAGCATTGATCACACACATAAATACAATCAATTAATAAGAACGACAATTCGACTCCACCACCAATTCAACAAAATGAGCATTTTGAAACAAACAACTTGAAATGATTGAACGCAAGAATGAAAGCAACAAACATGATTCAAATTGTGTCTTTTCGATCTCTTACAACTCTTTCTGCTTCTAATGAAAAATGAAACATGAACACAAGATCACAAAAAAAAAAAAAAAAAGTGTCCAGAAACCAAAAGGTACTACTATTTTATAAAGAAAAGATGATGAGCGTCTTCTTCACAATTGGAGTTCTCAGAAGAAAGTTGTATCGGACATGACTAGAAATTCAAGTTCAAAATGAGTAGATCCTTCACAAGAAATCCATTGGAGGGTTTGCGGATATCCTTCAGCGATATTACGTCTGCAGTACATGCAATCTTCCGGTTGGCGAACCAGTTGTTATGACCTGCAATATAAAAGAGTATTGCTAGGACACCAGAAAGTTTCAAACAGCCAAAATAATCCTCTCAAGTCCTAGCTAATTATATATAAAAAAAAAAAGCCGGACCCCAGTGCAAAAGAGGCTCACGCACTATGACAGGCGCGGAGAACAGCTCAATCTCATATGTACACGGCCTTACTCCCCGGAGGAGAGGCCGTTTCCGGGATTCAAACCCTGAATCCCGAGTGCAAATGCAAACGCAAGTCCTAGCTAATTATAATTTGAAAAAAAATTACGAGAGCAGCATTTCGATTAGATAAATCACATTTTTTTTTTCGCGGTGATGACCGTTGATCTGGTCATATACTCAATACTTGAATTCTGCATATATTTGCTCCTTTTTCAATCTGCTTTGGGATGAAGGCAAATGGATTAACCAAACTGTGAATGATTTACCCTCTTCATCACCGTATCCGTTTGGAAAAATGCGCAACTCCCTGCACCGAAGTAAATAAAACAACTAATTAAACAAAATCAAACGAGGAAAAAAAAAAAGGAAGGCAACGATATCATCGGAGGAAAAGCATACCAAGTTTTTTCTTGAACAGTAAACTTTGCAGACGTATAAGATTCTTTATATGCCTGGGAGAAATTTTCTGGCTTCGAAGTATAGCCATTATTACTGCCAATATGAGGCGCCCTAGTCCCCTGACTAGGGAAAGACATTCCCTCTTCCCGGTGGGCTTTACGACAAAAACCTAACAATGCTGCAAAGGATAGGAACTGGGATTTTTGTCCATCTTAACAATGATAATTGCAGCTCTAGTTGAGATTAATTAAACGTCTCAAAACAGCTGAGAAATACAACCTTGCTGATAAGCCAAGTTTGACAATTCCGATGACTATTTGGTGGTTGGTACCTCAGTCCGTTTTGTTAGGAATAGCAGATGCGTTTACTGTTGTTGGTCTGCAAGAGTTCTTCTATGATCAGGTGCCAAAAGAATAAAGAAGTATTGGACTTGCCCTTTACCCAAGTGTAACTGGTGTTGGGAGCTTGTTGAGTAGCTTTCTTGTCTTGGTCATTGATAAAACAACTGGCGGAAATGCACGGGACAGCTGGTTTTCGAAGAATCTGAACCGTGCTCATTTTGATTTCTTCTATTGGCTACTTGCTGGATTCAGTGTGCTTGGATTTGTTGCGCACTTGCACTTTGCAAGATCTTACATTTATAATAGAAGAGGTGCAATGTCAAAGCTCTAAATATGATTACTATTATACATATGATAGTATAAAATGGCATCCCACGGATCAGCATCTTTCTTGCGCATACAGAGGCATTAAATAACAAGGATTCAATGAGATAATTGTGTAATCGAAATAATCATTGCAATACTTTGATTAAAAAAAAAAAAACCCCAGAAAACGTGCATATGGTGTCAGGTCTCTATATTCTTGTTTCAAAGAAAAATAAAATTGTTGTCACAAGTTTTCTAATGATACTTGGTTAAGCAATTCTTATTAGATCCACCAATAAATACACTAGAAAACTAAAGCAACTGCCATCTTCCAAGGAAAGCAACAAAACTTTTGATTCAAAGGGAAACAAAAATTTTTTTACCGATGCTTCAGGCGAACAACATAGCTTTGATTAAAACTATGCACACTTTATATTCATCACTATGTCTTTAAAGACAGCAAAAGCCTGATGGTTGGCTATTCAAACCAATTTACATGACACAGAAAATAAACTGAAAATTAGGAAGTAACAAGTCCAACCTTAACAGAACAAACACTAATTCAAGCAAAAGACAACAGACAAACATATTCATTGGATCCACGGCGGCTAGGTGGCGAAAGGACTCCACAAGCATGATATTCAACAGAATCTGCTACAAGGAAATGGATTTCAGAATTTAGAAACTGTGACACATCCACCTGCACCAGCACACAAATCAATCATTGTTCAACAGTAGAAACTAAATGCGATAAGAGAGAAAACGTACAATTTTTAAAATTATCATCCACAGTTTAGCTTCTGAGGAATGCAAAAACATTAAGCACTTGAGAAGGATGTGAAAGCATAAGTACAAAAATTCTCCCAAAAACTAATAGAAGATGATCTATAAACTGTCAAGTTTAAGAAGATTCGGGAAAAATCAGCAGCATCAACACACTCAAAAACTTGACCAAAGTTTAACACTCAAAACAATTCTTAAGACTTCGCTTCTCATGAAAGAAAGTCCTCTTCATGCCATTACCACTTTTAACTATTCTATTCAGCTCTTGAAGTGCATATGGGCATATGGAGCTTTTCTAAAACTTCTGTCTAATACTGCTACCTATTTAATTTAGGAAGTCGAGCATACGCAGACAAAGGTGCCCAATGAATGATAGGGGAAGAGTCATTCTAGCACTAGTATCTATTTGCTTTGTCTTTACATTCCTAATCTGAACATTTGAATTAGACTCGGAATTTGGGGAGAAAGGAGATATATCATTTAGCACAACATTCCTATATATGCACCCAAAATTACAAACTATAGCATTAGTTAAACGATGGGAGCAGGTTTAATATCTCTTATCACTCAAATGAAAAATACTTAGATTCATTATGAAGACCTAAACTAAGATCCTTGACTGTAGCAATCGGTGCTTACAACAAATAATTAGGACAAGATACGACTCAAGCTAAGCTTAAAGCAGCATTAATCAGAGAAGCTTTAAAAGTCTCCCATCATTGTTTTGGAGTTCAATGATGACATGTATGTAAAACAAGATGCTATTGAGGACTCGAAATTGATCTTGAGGACGGAGAAAATGTAAGGGAGAGAAACAAAATGCATTTCAAATAAATCATCCAATGCAGTAAGAACACCATATTTCATTTAGTTGCTAACAACCTATTGAAGTTGTACTATTTACAAAAAAACACAAAACTTGGAAAAACAGAAATACGAATTACATGGGCCAAGTTTATCCAAGTATTAGAAATTCAAATACTGCTCATAAACTTTTAAGTTTATTATCTACTCAATCATTTCTTAACAGTTTCCTTCCTGAAAAAAAAAAACCCCCAATTTCAAAGACCTAGTTGCACATTCGTAATTAATTAATTGTACGATCATAATTCACAACACACACTATTAGGAACACTGCTGACAGGTAAACAAAACAAGATTAATGGATAATACAATGTAAATAAACTGACCCTCAAAAAGAAACTGGCAGACAAGTATAGAACAAGGGCTCCATATCTACCAACAGTGAGCTCATTGAAAAGACCAACTTCGACCACAGAACTTCTCCCAGCAAATCCCCATCCCTGTCCATCTTCACTTCAATTTCCGCACACCATAATTCCAATTCTGAAGTAAAAATTTCATCCCGTGGATATCCCAACCCCATTATTACCAACCTCCCTCCCACATTGACCATACAAGGGTCCCGGAAGCGATTAGGCAACCCTCTATTATTCACAAGTTTGAGCTCTTTCCAAATCCCATTTCTTTCATTCAAGCCTCTAATCGTCCTTGTATCTTCATCAGCGCAATACAAGACCCCATTCACCTCGCACATCTGTGCAGTCCAATGAAATCCCGGTCTAACGCCACTCTCAAACACCTCCCACGTCTCCGTCGCGGGATCGAACCTGATCTCTTCTCTCTCCAACCAGACGCAAACCTTACCACCCCTAATAGTGCAGCCGACAACCCGTTCATTGTAGACCCCAAGCTTGGGGCTAGGAAGGGTCTCCCAGCTCCTAGCCACCGTGTCGAAAACAAGGACCCATGATTTCTTCTCCGTCCAACATCCGATCACATAAATTTTGCTGTCCAAAACTACGGTCTTGGCAGCCTGACTTCTCACCGTTGGCATGCCCGGACCACGCTCCCACGTGTGGAAACGGCAGTCGAAAATCCACACCTTAGTTGAATAGCTAACACAATTTATGCCGCCCACGACATAGATCTTGGAGCCCACGGCGGCACAATCGGACCAATCTAGCCGGTCCTTGGGAACTCCTGGGACTGGGGCGACGATGATATTGCTCTTGTTGTCGTCGTTTGTGTTGGACCTTCTTCCATAGACCGTGAACCAACCCTTGGGCTTTCCATATAGGCTTCGGATCGTGAGGTAAAGCAAGCTTTCGGTGGAGTTGAGGGACGATCGGGCGGCGAATAGCTCCGGGGAGGAGAGGAGGGATCTGATGGGCTTCGACACCGCCGCGAGTACAGGGTGATACTGTCTTGGGACGCGAGCTAGACATTGCAAAGCGACGTCGTTTGGTAGTGACGGGATGAGGATCCCTGGCGGTGCCTCGGTCGTGGTGGTCGACATGGGGTTTGTTAAGGAGGTTTTCGGAGCAGAAGTCGTACAAGTGAAATGCGGTTTGGGCTGAATTTTTAATTTAAATTGACATTAATATTTTAAAATATATATAATTTTTAATTATAAAAATTTAAAATTATAAAAATTATATGAAATATTTTTTAATTATAAAAATTTAAAATTAAAAACTTTGATGAACGTAATTTAAGTCTTATTTATTTCGTCAATTTAAATTTTATTACAATAAAACACTCTCAAAATAATTATATTTAATTTTTTTATTACAATAAAAAATTATCACGTAACATCACATTTTAATTTAAATTAAAAATACAAACCAATAAACTAAAACGATACTTAATTATTTTATTGTTAAGGTCAACGCTTTGGCTAGAGTAGTATTGAAAACATAAAAATAGCACTTAATTATTTATTTAAACGATCTCCACCTCAAAGATCTCCACAACGACGGACTTCACCGCGACGATCTAGCTGGCGCTGATCTCCACTGTGAAAATCGCCACCGCAACAACCTCAAACAAGACGAAGTGGCTAGAGCCTTCGTTGTTGAGCAAAACAAAGCTAGAGCTTCCTTTACATCTTCATCTTCTTTGGACCAAAAAGATGTTTGCTTTTTTTTTTTTTTTTTTTTTTTAAAAATTTTTAATTTTTTTTTTTTTTTAATTTATTTGTTTTTTAATTTTTTTTTTCGGAAGATTCTCACTTCTCAGGGAGGGTCGAAGTCGAACCATGATGAATGGTATTGGTTTGGGGTAGTGCTAGATCTGGTGTGATGGGTTGCACATTAGAGGAAGTAAAAAATAAAAAACTATTTGTTTAATATAATTTTTCTAATAAAATCAGAAAAAATAAATAATAAATAATTTCTTATTATCAATTATTTGATCCCAATAAAAATTATCCGCTTAACATATTTTTTAATTTCACGTAACTTTAACTAAATTTAATAGTAAAAAATTATCTTACCGATATAAAGATTCTATCAGATAGAGTCTCTTTATTTAATGAAAAATAAATCAAACAGTTTGTAGTAAAGAAATAAATATTTGTTGGATTATTTTAAAATAGATTAATTTCACAAATAGTCTTTTGAGGTTTACACTCAATCTTATTTTAGTCTTTAACTTTTTAAACGTTACACAGATGGTCCTCTAAAATTTTATTTTGTTTCAGTTTCAGTCATTCTGTCAATTAGGTGTTAAACTTTGATGAAATTTGTGTAAATTAGAGTCCAAAATTAGAAACAATTAAAATTTTAGGTCTATATGTAAAAATTAACTTTTAATTTTTTGTATTGTTTTAGTCTCTGAACTTTATATGTTTCCAATATAGTCTATAATTTCTATAAATTTCTTCAAATATTTAATACTAAGTTAACAGAAGGATCGAAATTGAAATAAAATAAATTTCAGAGACCAACTGTGCGACGTTTGAAAAGTCATAGATTAAAGTGAGATTAAGATTAAATTTCAATGGCTTAATATTAAGATAAATTTTACAAATTCCCTTGATTTACATACTTGTATCAACATACTCTTAAATTTTAAAATGTATATATTGTACTCCTTAATCTAAATTACTTTTTCAGATTTACTCTATTTAACTTTGTAAAATGTTATTTTATAGGAGATATTACATAATTTGTATTTATTTCATTTAAATTTATAAATATTTAGATTTAGATTTTTTTAATTTTCTTTGTAATTATCTAGGTAGTTTCTCATTTAGTTAGTTTTATCTTTTTTAATATTTGATGAATTATTTGAATTGTAAATTACCTAGATTAGGACATTTTGTAACCTATATATGTTCAATTAATTCAATGGAAAAAGGCTATGCTATAATTTTCCCGAAACCGCTTCAAGTCGTTAATTTTTTTGGATAGAATTGCAGACTTGTTATTTGTTTTAAGCTTAGATGTTACATTTAGGAATTAATCATTAAAGGCCAAAAAAAAAAAAAACTCAAGTAAGTACGAAACAATTGATCAAGCGTAGCCACAATGTGATCACAGTCATACCACGTGTCGCTCCCTCATTGGTTGAAAGGAAAGTGACGGGCCCACTTGCTGCCACGCTGATGCAGTTGTCATCTGCCACCTTCAGACGCGCCTCATCCGCGCGTGTTTCCCACATGCCTATCTTGGCCGTTGAAGTTTTTGATCCGACGGCTTAAAAATTATTTTGGTTTTATTTTTAATTATTATTATTATTTTTTATTTATTCTGGAGTGATAAGTCTGATTTTATCCATTTTGACGTCGTTTTGAATTGAATTTTCACTACTATTCAGATAAAAATGTTATAAATAATTTGGATAAAATAAAATTTTAAAAAATACATTAAAATAAATTGAAATCACACTTTATTTAATAAAAATAAATTAAACAACTCAAAATATGATTAATTTAAAACACAACAAAATAAATAACCATGTGTCAGGATAGTATTCACTGAAAAAAAGAAATAAAACTATATAATTTGCTTATAAAATAAAAGGAAATAATTGTGAGCTTATTAAAAATATTTTTTATAAATTGTTTAATCTTTTTTTTTTGTTTATAAGTTGTTGTATAGATAAATTATTTGTAAAACTTATTAAATTGTTTATGATTGTTTATTAATTTTTTTTCCCTGTTTTTTGCTTCAAATCTTTGGTTGATTTTGAATTCGTTTTATTTATTTTTGTGACTTTTTCTTTGCTACTTTCTCTTTTTTCTTTAGAAAAAAATTTGTATAATCGGTATTTTAAATGATCTCGATCGGATGATCTAAATAATTTCTAATATATTTTTTTAATCATTAATATTTATTATAAATTTTCAACATTCTATAGATAAAAATACTACAAATAATTTGAATAACATTAAGCAAGAATACACTAAATATAATAAAATAACACCAAATTAAATAAGAAGATTAAACAAACAAAAAAAATACTTTAAAACACAACAAAATAAATTAAATTAATATCCTATTTTTTTATATTCCTCTTTTTTTAAACATTTAGTATAACATTTATTTTAAATAAATAAATGAATCACGCACGCTATTACAATTAGTAATGTAGAAAAGTGAGAAAAAAATATTTTTAGTCGAAAAGGTTTGAATAGTTAAAATTTAAAGCGGTGCAAATTAGAGTTGGACAACTCTGTGTATTTCACCGATTCGAGTTTTACTACAGTAACAAGTTCTCAAAAATAATCACATCTAATTTTTTTAATACACTCTCATATAAAATTACATCTCAACTCGAATCAGTAAAATACTCAAGTGGAGGGTGAGCTTCATTTGGATTGGACAAACTAGTCCGAATTGTCGAAAGGGACCAGGATTGGCTTTTGTAAAATGAAAAAAAAAATGAAAAAAAAAATGAAAACTATTTAAAAAGTAAAAGACGCAAATGCCCTCAGGGTTTATTATTTGAACCAATTTGTGTCAATAATAGTAAAGAAAATATTAACAACGTTGTCTCTCAAAGTATCTATTCATTTTTTTTCCGCTTCCAAAACAAAGGTAGTTTTCGCAGTGATAAATTATATTTTGCGATTTGAATCTCAACATTCACAACAATATAAATCATAATTGTGCGTTGTAAAATAAATAAATCTTACGATTCAACCCTTATATCACATATGAATTAAATCTTGCGGTTCCACGATTCATTAAAAGGGTTTCCCAATTAATTCGGGGGGCTCGCGATATTTCACATATTTATTATACAAGAAAAGAATTGTTGGTTGCTTTCCTTGTACATATATTCTGTACGGTTTATATATGTCACTCATGTATTTATGGTTGATTAGATGATATTAAGATCATGTTTGGAGTTGGTTTTGTTTTTCACGTTTTTCGAAAAAGAAAAAATGAAAACGAGATAAAAACGGCGTTTAGCACACTTAAAGACAAAAAATGGAAATGAAAATAATTTTTTGATTTAGTGTAAAATGAGAGAGAAATAAAAAACGACTTTTAGTCGTTTTTCATCTTTTGTTTTCGTTTTCTTCTCTCTCGAGCACAGAGAGAGACATTAATGGATTTTTTTATACTGAAAACAATCTCTTAATAAGACTACCAAACGCCTTTTTAAAAATAATTTCTGTCTGAGATTGAAAACATTTTCATTTCTATTTTCATACAAAAAATAAAAATATTTTACAACGAATTCCAAACGCACTCTAAACTCCCCTCATTGTAATGATCCGTTAATTATGACAAACAATGATCTACTTTTTTTTAGAACTCAAAAAACATAAGTTCAAAAAAAAAAAAGATGAACATTAAAGTTCAAAACACAAAAATAAAATAAAATCAAACACGGTGTGGCTTTGAAGGAATGCAAAAACATTTACTGCTTGCGAGGAAGGCAGTGAAAGCATAAGTATTGTAAATCAGTGGCACCATCACAATAAAAACAATCAAACATGTTAAATTTAAGCAAAGCAAGATCATATAATGAAAATATATAGATATATATATGTGTGTGTGTGTGTGGAGTGATATATCATTACCCTAAATTTTATTGTCATAGTGATAGAAAAGAAAACTAATAATGATCATAATAATGATGACATTTTTCTTATAAATAATGATAAGATTCATTATTATACAATCTCAAAAACTGTGAACGAATTCAAATTTTACTAAAATAGCGTAATAAATCCGTCGCATGATCAAATCAGAAATTAAACCCGCTCGTATCATAAAAAAACGATGTAAAACGTGAATATATATATATATATATATATATATATATAGAGAGAGAGAGAGAGAGGGTAGCCACCATTGATAGGTCCATAGCAATAAAGATCGGGGAAGTATCCCAAAAAAGAAAAATACCGCTCGTATCATAAAAAAACGATGTAAAACGTGAATATATATATATATATATAGAGAGAGAGAGAGAGAGGGTAGCCACCATTGATAGGTCCATAGCAATAAAGATCGGGGAAGTATCCCAAAAAAGAAAAATACCGCTCGTATCATAAAAAAACGATGTAAAACGTGAATATATATATATATATATAGAGAGAGAGAGAGAGAGGGTAGCCACCATTGATAGGTCCATAGCAATAAAGATCGGGGAAGTATCCCAAAAAAGAAAAATACCGCTCGTATCATAAAAAAACGATGTAAAACGTGAATATATATATATATATATAGAGAGAGAGAGAGAGAGGGTAGCCACCATTGATAGGTCCATAGCAATAAAGATCGGGGAAGTATCCCAAAAAAGAAAAATACCGCTCGTATCATAAAAAAACGATGTAAAACGTGAATATATATATATATATATAGAGAGAGAGAGAGAGAGGGTAGCCACCATTGATAGGTCCATAGCAATAAAGATCGGGGAAGTATCCCAAAAAAGAAAAATACCGCTCGTATCATAAAAAAACGATGTAAAACGTGAATATATATATATATATATAGAGAGAGAGAGAGAGAGGGTAGCCACCATTGATAGGTCCATAGCAATAAAGATCGGGGAAGTATCCCAAAAAAGAAAAATACCGCTCGTATCATAAAAAAACGATGTAAAACGTGAATATATATATATATATATAGAGAGAGAGAGAGAGAGGGTAGCCACCATTGATAGGTCCATAGCAATAAAGATCGGGGAAGTATCCCAAAAAAGAAAAATACCGCTCGTATCATAAAAAAACGATGTAAAACGTGAATATATATATATATATATAGAGAGAGAGAGAGAGAGGGTAGCCACCATTGATAGGTCCATAGCAATAAAGATCGGGGAAGTATCCCAAAAAAGAAAAATACCGCTCGTATCATAAAAAAACGATGTAAAACGTGAATATATATATATATATATATATATATATATATAGAGAGAGAGAGAGAGAAGGTAGCCACCATTGATAGGTCCATAGCAATAAAGATCGGGGAAGTATCCCAAAAAAGAAAAATAAGAAATAAAAAATAAAAATCAGGGAAGCGTTCAAAAAATTTAGAGGACGTTTGGTTCATAGATTCAAAATTATAATTTAAAACTATTCTCGTCTTACATTTATTCACCTCTCTGATGCCCAATCTGCCATTCGATATAGTTCTGTTTGCAAACACTGGAATGATCTTATTCATAACCCAAAATTTATTCGAAATTCATCCATCACAAACACGAGCAATCAATTGATTACTCCTCCTTTACTCTTTTGTTTGAAAGCACTAACACGGTGGATAAACAAACGTGTTACTATGACTGCCGACTCTCTCAACTGGTTTCCGAGGAATCTAGTGCTCTTTACGAGACACGATCATCTTCTTATGTATTTTTTTTTTTACCTTTTCCATTGCTTATATAGAGTGGCGGATTTAAAAACAGTTCAGTATGAATTATCGTCTTTACTCAATTTTTTTTTTAAAAAGAATATTACTTTTAAAAATTTTAAAATTTTACACTTAAATTCTCACTAAATAATATATGCTATTATTAAAATAAATATATTTTTTATATATCCATACTAAAATAATTTGTTAAAAAAATTTAAATTACACCTCATTAAAATAAAAGACTGACTCGGTCAGTATTTATATATAATCTCATTACTAGAAAGCGGCTTCGGCTGCCTAGTCTTCCTCCTGAATTTTTCGTTACCGAGATGGGATTGGTGTGTCAACCCAATAGCTTTTCTATCAATATCATAGAATTTCCTTTTGATATTGAGATATCAAATATGTATGATTTTTTTTTAAAAGAAAATCTTGTTTTTTTATGTATCTCTTTATTGTTTATTCTATCATAAAGCATTAGAAATATATGTTCTAATGTAATTTCTGTACATTTTCTTAATTTTTCCCGTATATTCATTTATATTGATATTTTCTCCAAAATTTTTTTAAATTGGAGTACTGATGTTTTCACTGGTACTTAGGGCTGTTCATGGGTTGGGTTGGTGTGGGGTAGGACTTTTTTTTCCCCGCCCCAAAGGGTGCGGGTTGCACATATTTGGCCCCAACGATGTTAGAAAACTTTCACAACCCAACGATGTTCGGGTTGGGTTGGGGCGGTGTGGGGTGGGTTGGGTGGTCGGTTTCAACATTCAAAAAATCAAAGACTTAAAGTTCAATATAATATTCAAACTTCATCATTAAATAGAAATAGTAACCATCCTTATTAGTCCGGCGAGAGAGCACCGGAGAAAGTGGGCAAGACGGCGGCCGAGAGGACTGAGCAATGAGGAGAGAGTTATGAGGGGGTTCACGGGAGGGGAAGAAGAGGGAAAACTGAAAAGGAAGAGGCAATAAGAGGGGGTTCATGGGAAGGGAGACCGAGAATGAGATTGTGAACCCTAATGTTAGCGAGCCTAGGGGAGAACTTGGGCAGTTCGGCTTGGGCCGAAAGCTTGGGGGTATGTTGTGCGGGTTGGGTTGGGGATTGCGGGTTGTTATGGGCCCAACCCGCAATCCGCCCCAAACACTTCGGGCCAGAGGTATAATGAGCCGCAAATTTAAAAATAATGCTGCGGGTTGTTTTTTTCGGCTTGGGTTGGGGCGGGGTGGGTTGGGTTTGCGGGATGTTCGGGGTTATGAACAGGCCTACTTGTACTGATAAGGACAAAGTACAAACTCAAGTGAAACGAACATGTACTGTTGGCGTAAAATGCGTAGTTCCTATCCCTCTACATTAATTAATTTCCATGAAGAAAATAACTAATATTAACGGAAACAAAGGACATAAATACTTGATTTTTATCATTATTTTTCATTAATATCTTTTTAATTAAATAACTATAGTAGTCAAAAAAAATATTAATCAAGAGTAATGAATAAAAATTAAGACTCATGTACTTTTAAGAATAAGTTCAGTAATTCTTTAAAAAAATAAACAAAAAACAGCCAAGACAGTGGGCTCCATCCAATAGTAATAAGATATGTAAACTTTAAAATAAAAATAAAAAAACCATTATTGTAAAATTGTAAAAGGAAAAGAACACATTTCAAACGAATCATCACTATGAAATAACACTACATTTCGATAATATTGATATGTTAAAAATACAGGATACCGGTAAGATAATTTCAAAAACAGAGAGTATTAAAATAATTTTATTCTAAAAATCTAAAACGATATAAAATAAATCTTAATTAATATAAGATATATTGGCAAAGTTTTATGGTGATCTTAACTAAAATTAATGCATAACATATTACAAAGAAATATAATTAAACAAAACTGATATAAACAAACTACCTAAATGTCTGTTTTTTATTAGACGAGTGTACCACATACATGACATAATTCTTCCTTTATTAAAGTTATCCTAATTATAGAATTAAAACATGAAAAATAGGAATGCTAATTACAAGCGCAAGTTTTATGCAGGAAACAAGTATAAGTATTTGTACTTGCTTGTTGCTCCAAATCATAAAATGGCTTCGGAGCAAATTACCTGACCTAAAACTTGTTTTCTTTCATGTTACAAATTTTTTTTCAGGAAAGAAAAAACAAAAATTCAAATCTGTACTAGCCGTTCTGCCCATATTTGAGTGTCCTACAAGTGGGAAAGCAAAAACAATAAAACAAAAAGAACATATTTTATTAGATGTCAGTTCCAAAAACGGAGGAGGAAAGCGTATATAAGGCCCCGTTCTGATTCGAGTTTAGAATTTGAATTTTACTACAGTAAAAAGCTCTCAGAAACAGTCACATCTAACTTTTTTACTACAGTAAAAAGCTCTCACATAAAGTCACATCTCAATTCAAATTAAAAACTCGAATTAACGAACTAAACTTACTTCTAGCTAGCTAGGAATGGAGACCGAAAGTCTTGGCTTCTAGCTAGCAAGCAACGAAAAAAAAAAGGATGGTTTTGTGTCATGTATGTTCTATCATCAAGGACTGAACAAATACACCCAGCATAATTTTCAAGTTTATGTCCCACTCAAATAATTCTAAACAATTGTCTTTCCCCAAAAGCCCATCTCATTGCAACATTCCCAATTATACAATCACAACAAAAACTATCAACCATGTTAAAGTTAAACAAAGCAAGATGAATATGTATCATGCAAATATGTAATGACAAGAAACAACCAGATGTAATGCCGTGTTTAGAATTTGTCTCGTTTTTATTTTTCACATTTTTCGAGAAAGAAAAATGAAAACGTTTACAGAACGGCGTTTGACGCAATGAAGACAAAAAACGGAAATGAAAACGATTTTTTAATTTAGTGTAAAATGAGAGAGAAATAAAAAATGACTTTTAGTCGTTTTTCATTTTTTTTTCGTTTTCTCCCATCTCGAGCAGAGAGAGAGAAAGAGAGACATTAATGAGTTTTGTTACACTAAAAACAATCTCTTGATAAAACTACTAAATGCATTTTTAAAAATAATTTCTGTCTAAAATTAAAAACGTTTTCATTTTTATTTTTATACAAAAAATAAAATTATTTTAAAACGAATTCTAAACGCGACCATGCACTCCCATCTCCATTGCATGATTAGTCCTCATAAAGAAACTGGCAGACAAGCATAGAAAAAGTGCTGCCTATCCATCACCCATTTGTCCGTAGAAAAAACCATCTCCGACCATAGAACTTCTCCCTTAAAATCCTCATCCCCATCCTTCTTCACTTCAATTTCCCCACACCATACTTGGTTATCACCGGAAAAGAATTTCGTCCCAATTAGTACCAACCTCCCTCGCACATTGGCCATCCACGGTTGCGGCAAGTTATTCAGCAACCCTCTGTCATCCACAAGCTTGAGCAGTTTCCACGCACCAATTCTTTCATCAAAGCATTTAATTGTGGGAATTCTTCTACTATAATGATCATAGCAGCACAACACCCCATTCACCTCGCATATCTCTACAGTCGGACGCAATTCCGATCCGATGCCACTATCAAACACCTCCCACGTCTTCGTCGGGGTCGAACCTGAGCTCTTCTCGCTTCAACCAGACGCAAACCTTCCCACTCCTAATGGCATATCCAACAACATTTTCTCCGTAGACCCTAAGCTTGGGGCTAGGAAGGGCCTTCCAGCGCCCAGTCACCGTGTCGAACACGTCGGCCCATGAGTTCTCCTCCGTCCACCATCGGATCGCGTAAATCTTGCCGTCCAAAACTAGAGTCTTAACAGCATGTCTTCGCATTGGTATGCTTGGACCGCGCTCCCACCTGTGTAAGCCGCAGTCGAAAATCCAAACCTCCGTTGAAAAGAGGTGGCCTAGGTCGTAGATCTTGGAGCCGACGACGGCGTAATCAGACCACACTAAAGGCTCCTCGGGAGAGCTTGGGAGCCGAGCAACTTTGATATCACCCGTTGCGGCGTTTGGGTCGGGCCTTCGATGGACCGTGAACCAAAGCGGCTTATCGAACTCTACGATTCTGAGGTAAAACAGGAGCTCGGAGCAGTTGAGGGATGATCGGACGGCAAAGAACTCGGGGGAGGAGAGGAGGGATCTGATGGGCTTCGACACCGCCGCAAGGACGGGGTGATACTGTCTTGGGACACGAGTCAGACATTGCAAAGCGATGTCGTTTGGCAGTGACGGGATGAGGATCGCCGGTGCCTCATCGGTGGTGGTGGGCATGGTGTTTGTAATTTAGAGCAGGTTGCTCTCAGTTACTATCCTAAATTTTAATATAATGATAGAAAAGGAAACTAATAATATTTTGATTATCTGAATATTGAAATAACACCCGTATAATTCCTCCTGAAGATAATTATTTTTAAATAAAGAATAATGATAACAGTTTTGTGGAATGATAATGATGACAGTTATCACTATAAAAATTATGAAATTTATGAGGGAATTCAAATTTTATTTAACAATCTATTCAAAAAGAAGAAAAAATATTTAACAAGTAATATGAAACCATGGTTATGACCAAATTAGAAATATGAGTCTGCCAAAGGATAAGTACATTTTTCTCTTTTTTTTCTTTTTTTTTTTCAAAGAGTAACGATAACATTTTTTCTTTTTTTAAGAATAGTAATGATAACATTTATATTATATATAAATAATTACAACATTTGTGAAGGAATTCAAATTTTATTTGAAAAGTGATCTGAATCCGTGGTTATGACCAGATTAGAAAATTAAACCCACTGCATATCATAAAAATACCATTTAAAACTTTAAAAAAAAAGACTAATCGCATAAATAATAATTTCAGTTTCTTATAAAAATTCTCTCATGATATGGGTAGTAATACTAGTACCATAAATTTCATTATAATGATGAAAAAGAATTTAAAAAAAATTAAAAAGAATAAAAACTAATACTGATCATTTGGATATGGAAATACCAGCCATGAATCTATAAAGATAATATGATAACCTGCTTGGTTCTTTTAGATTATAGATTTGAATAGAATTTTAAATTTAATTTGATTTTTATAGGAGAAAACACAATAAATAATGTTTGAACAATTTTTTTTATTCAAGTCTATAACAAACAAAGGTTAATGTCATTATACATTTGCAAGATTTTTTAGGGAATTTAAATTTTATTTAAAGAGTTTTTAGCACATTTGCCTCTTGAACTTGTGGTGATTTAGCAAATTGTCCTATAAACTTTTAATTTTAACGTTTTGTCCCCAAAACTTGCTAAAGTGGTGCAATTAAGCCCATTTAGCTAGCGTCTGTTATAAACATCACGGAATGGCCCACGTGAGACGCACATGTCTCGAATTTAAGGGGAATAAAGTAATTATGTTATTGTTCATAAATTGGTCATAGATTAAGGTGCAATGTATACTAAATCAAATGCTAGTAGGAATATTTAATAAACAACTAAATTTGCTAGTGTGTTTGGCTGTAGGAATTATAACAAAAACATTAAAACTATATTTTAGAGCTCCCTCTTAAAACAAATTGTTTAGTAATCAACACACATATATTAATATATGGAATTTAGTGATAATCAACGTTATTGTTCTGAGATGTATGCCTTGACTGCTTTGGAAAAGCACCAATATATTTTTTATGACGCAAAAAATGTGTTGAGATCACTCAAAGATGGTTCAAAGAAGTATCTATGTCAACGCTTTTCCTCAAAAAAAGAGGACGAAATAGGAAAAAGTACTACCACACCATAAACTATCATTACGTTCAGAATTATCATTTAAAATTATTCTTAATTTATATGTATTTTTTATAAAAAAAAATACTATAACAAATCACGAACCATAATTTGAATCATGACACGAATTCACCAATCAAACCCACGTAAGAGTTGCGCAATGCAAAGCAAGATGAATATCAATAAGATATAACGTATACCCTAATGCGTGACTAGTCCTCATAAAGAAACTGGTAAACAAGCATAGAAAAGAGGCGGCTTTCGTCCTTCCATCACCCATTCGTTGGTCCAAAAAACAATCTCCGACCACAGAACTTCTCCCCTAAAATCCCCACACTCATCCCCGACATTCTTTACTACTTCAATTACCCCGCACCATACCCGCGTACCGCCCCGAAAATATTCGGTCCCGATCAGAACCAATCTCCCTCGCACATTGAACATCCAAGGTCTCATCAAGTGATCATTCAAATTCAGTAAACCTCTATCACCCACAAGCTTGAGCGGTCTCCAAACACCAGTTCTTTCATCAAAGTGTTTAATTTTGCCGAACGGGATACTATAAGGATCAAGGGAACACAAAACCCCATTCACCTCGCAAATCTCTACACTCGAATGCAATTCCGATCCGGCGCGGCTCTTAAACACCTCCCATGTCCTCGTCGCGGGGTCGAACCTGAGCTCTTCTCGCTTCAACCAGACGCAAACCTTCCCACTCCTAATGGCGCATCCAACAACCGGTTCGCCGTAGACCCGAAGCTTGGGGCTAGGAAGGGCCTCCCAGCGCCCGGTCACCGTGTCGAACACGTCGGCCAATGCGCACTCTGCTGTCCAACCTCCGATCGCGTAAATCTTGCCCTCCAACACTACATGCTTGACGGCTTTACTTCGCATCTTTGGCAAGCTCGGACCGCGCTCCCACGTGTGTATGCCGCAGTTGAAAATCCACACCTCGGTTGAAAAGCGGCAGCCGAGGTCGTAGATATTGGGGCCCACGACGGCGCAGTCGGACCACACTAACGGTTCCTGGGGAGCTGTTGGGAGCCGAGCAACTTTGGTATTGCCCGTTGCGGCGTTTCGGTGGACCATGAACCAAAGCGGCCGATTGGCCTCTACGACCCTCAGGTAAAACAGGAGTTCGGAGCAGTTGAGGGATGATCGGACGGCGAAGAAGTCTGGGGAAGCGAGGAGGGATCTGATTGGCTTCGACACCGCCGCGAGGACGAGGTGATACTGTCTTGGGACGCGAGCCAGACATTGCAAAGCGACTTCGTTTGGCAGTGACGGGATGAGGGTCCCCAGTGGCTCATCGGCGGTGGTGGGCATGAATTTTGATTTTTTTTTTTTTTGTTAATTCGTTTGGAAAGAGATATTGTGGGAAGAGAACGGAGGAAAACTGTAGTGAGAGAAAACAAACGTGAAGCGTGGATGATCACTGAATAGGCTTTATTATCCTAAATTTTATTGTATAATGAAAGAAAAGGAAACTAATAGTGATCATTTAAATATTGAAATAACATCCTTACTTATGCCTAAAGATAACATATTTTAATAAAGAATAATGGTAACAGTTTTGTTTTTTTTTTTTAGCAGAATAATGGTAACTTATCACTATACAAATTACAAAAATTGTGAGGGAATTCAAATTTTATTTAAAAGTAGTGATCTTAATCCGTTTTTATGTTATTAAAAAAAAAAGGAATCGGTCTTTGTGACCAAATTAGAATATATAAGTCTGCCTAAGGATTACACTTTTTTTTTTTATAAGGAATAACGATAACACTTATGCAATTCAAAGTTTGTCGTGATATAAATCCGTGGTTATGATCAAATAGAAACTAAACCCACTTGATATTAAAAAAATACGATGTGAAACATGCAAAAAAAAAAAAAAAAATTAATCACGTTAATTTTATAATTTCAGCTTATTATAAAACTGTCTATCATTATGTATAATAATATTAGTACCCTAAATTTCATTATGACGTTAAAAAAAAAACTAATAGCTCTGTTTTTGCAAAAAAAAAAAACAGAGAAATTAACAATGATTATTTAGATACGGAACAAGCCAATAGTTTTGTCTATCTCAATAGTGATAAAAATAATGATAACATTTATAATACTGTTGTTTTATAGATTTAAATAGAAATTTAATTTGTTAAAATTTTTATAATTGAAATCCTTAATAAATAATGTTTGAACCAAAACTTTTGATTTAAATCTATAAAACAAACATAGGTTAATGTCATTATACAATTAGAAATTTTTTAGGGAATTTAAATTTTATTTAAAAGTGTACAAAATCCGTATGACCAATTACGAAATTAATTCAAAGCAAAAAAAAAAAAAAAAAAAAAAAAAAAAAAAAAAAAAAAAACCCCTTTAACCTTTTACATAAAAGTACAATGTACAAAATTAAAAAAAAAAAATGTACGTGCCCATATGGGATGTAAATGCAGGGTGGACCAGGTAAGCTTCCTCGCCCCATACCCTACTTTTTTTTGTCCTTTCTATCTAATGCTCGCAATTTAATAGGGACACGACGATATGATTTAAAATTTACATGAAATTAGTAGATTTAGATTTATTGTAAATGAGTTAAGTCATAATGAGATTGACACGATTAATAAATAAGTTAGGTTAGGGTTGACCTCCTGACACGAATTGACACAATTAACTATATGTGTCATCTGTAATCTAATTATATGTGATATAACATGAAAGTCTATATGCCATATTAAATACAAATAATATGAATTTTAATATTTGTAGGTAAAATTCATTTATTTTTCTTAAAGAAAAAGATAAATTGATCAATAAACAGGTTAAACATGTCATGACTGTGTTAAATAAATCATTATTATATTAGTTATTTATTCAGTATATTAATTGAAACGAGTTATACGGATTGACACGATTAACACGAGTAATAAATGAGTCGTGTTTGGGTTGATATTTTTGACACATTTAATAAACAAGTCGTGTTTAAGTTGATATTTTCTGACACGATTAATAAACGAGTTGATACGAACACAACCCACTAACACGAATTGCCACCCTTACTCTTATTTACTACTATATACCCGTGTAATTTAAGATGGAGTTGGATCCGAAAGTCCTTATTGGGATAACTATTCCCCAGACTTATTCATTTACCCATCACGAGTTGAAAAAAATATTGCTATATTTTTTAAACTCAAAGCAAACTTTAAAATGTGACAAACAAACCAAATATTTAAACTACAAATGATTAAAGAAAGGAGAATTCAAGGAAGAGGGGGCGGCGTAGTACTGCAAGGGAATGGCCACAAACTTCATCAAAGTTAGGGAAGAAAGTCGGTTTTCAATTCACTAATTGAGCGGAAAACACTAATGAGATGTTTGGTTCATGGATTAGAACCATGTGATTAGAATTATTTTCGATTTACGTGTATTTGTTGTGAGAGAAAATACTATAGCGAACCACGAACCATGATTCGAATCAGGGGACGAATCCCCCAGCCAAACAACCTCTAAAATCGATGACCGAACCTCAAATGTTGGGTGGTTTGGTTTCGTCGACCAACGACGTCAACCTCTGCTTCTGACCCTTTTATCAATCGGTTTCCGGTGCTGCTTATCGGTTTTATCTATTTCAATTATTTTTGTACAACCTTAAAAGTAACAAATTAAATTAAATGGCGGGTGTGAAAAGGAAAAAGAAGTGGTCAAGAATTAATAATCTTATGCAAAATAATTAGGGATAATTTAAGAGTGTAAAAAGTAAATTTAATCACTTTAAAATTATGTGTTGTGTGAATATAGAAGACGGTATGTAAAAGTATAATCGCTCATTGGTTAATTCTAGCCCATGTTTGTTACAACATTTCAAATTAAAAAATTAGTTCAAATTATAGTTTAAGATTTAAATTGATGTTTGTTAAAGAATTAAATGATGACAATTTAAATGGTTCAAATGCTTTATTTTAGAATTGATCCCTCCCCCCTCCCCCCTAAATTTAAACAATCTGAATTGTTTTCACTGTAGAAAGCAATTCGGATTTTATTTTTTCTCCATCCTCATTTCAAGCTTAAAAATATCTTCGTTTCAATTCCGATTGAGATAATTTTTCTTTTCAATGTGTACATAATGAAGAGAGGAACAAACCATCATCCGTGTTACATATTTTTTAATGTCATTTATAATGAGGTTTTATAAGATTTGTTACAAAATTATAATAACAATTTTGGATACTTTATACAAATACTGTTTGGATTTTATTTTCAATTCAAATTATAATTTATTATCCAAATAACGGTCTAAATTACAATTCAAATCACCATAATTCAAATCAAATTACACAATCTGAACGGTGAACGAAACAATGCCCTATTTTTTGAGAATGTGTACTTTACAAATGATTTAGAATGAAAATTTATAATTTAATTAAAAGGAGTAAGCTTTCCCAAACTATATCTCAGACTTTGATCCAAAAATAATATATTTTTTTCGCATCAAAATAATATTTTTCAGAGCTTCTATGTTCCACTTATTCTAAGTTACCTTTTGTCTGCTAACACGTTTTGTATTTCATATTGCGTGTTACGACGTCGTATTCAATATTAACACCTCAATTTCTTGCGTCGAACAAAATTTAAGGGCTTGTTCAGTTATATTTTTGAGTTATGATGATTTAAGTGTAGATCTTGAGTTGAATTTTATGTTATAACTTGAGTTTGTGTTTGGTTGTGTACATTTGAGTTATGGTTTGAGATGAGAATCTTTTTGAATTTGTGTTTGTGTGGGTCAAAACTTGAGTTTGTATTTAGAATAATATTTTAATAAAAACACAATGATGATGGAAAATTTTAATAGGGTATATGGGTGGAATTTTATTCGTCTTTTCGTTGTGAACACATAAAAAAAGAATCATCTCAATCGCAATTAAATGATAAAGTTATAACGTTTTTAAGAATAAAAAAAATATTGTTCATTAACTTGAGGTGGAGTTTAAGAACTTGAGTTTGAGTTTAGGAACTTGAGTTGAAGGGGAAACTTGAACTCAAATTTTAATCTCAAACTCAAGTTAAAATTCAAGTTAAAACTCAAGTTTAAACTCGAATTTTACAAAAAAAACATAAACTTAAATAAAGTTATAACTTGAGTTTAAATTTTTTTTGAGTTTAGGTATAAAAGAACAAGCCCTAAAAAACTCAGGAATTGACTTAATATCCATCCATCATGACGTCCAAACACAGCAAAAGTCCCACTGTTGGCAATTTAAATCAACTTTCATGAAAAAGAAAAAAAAA